GTCCGTCGGGGGTGACTGTGCTCTTGGCACGGACGTCCTTGAGGACAGGCAGGAGGAGTTCCAGTGCTTTGCCGCCGCTTTGCCCCATCTCGTGTCCATGCTTGTTGCCCCTGAGGGAGACCCGGATGCTCTAGACATCCCGACCCCACGCTCTTACGCAGAGGCGATGGCCGGTCCCTACTCCTCTCAGTGGCAGTCAGCCATGGACGCAGAGATGGCTTCCTGGAAGTCCACTGGCACCTACGTCGACGAGGTTCCCCCACCTGGGGCGAACATTGTCAGTGGCATGTGGATTTTCAGGGTGAAGCGGCCGCCGGGTTCTCCGCCTGTCTTCAAGGCGCGCTACGTGGCTCGTGGCTTCAGTCAGCGACAGGGAGTTGACTTATTTCAGACCTTCTCCCCGACCCCGAAGATGACCACTCTTCGGGTTCTACTGCATGTCGCTGCTCAGCGTGACTACGAGCTACACTCTCTTGACTTCAGCACTGCTTTCCTACAGGGCCGCCTGCACGAGGAGATCTGGCTGCGCCGCCCTCCTGGCTTCACTGGGTCGTTCCCTCCTGGTACCCAGTGGAGCCTCCAGCGGCCAGTCTACGGTCTCCGCCAGGCGCCGCGTGAGTGGCACGACACACTGAGGACTACACTTGCGGCTCTTGGGTTTGCTCCTTCTACTGCTGACCCGTCGCTGTTTCTACGCACCGACACCTCGCTGCCGCCATTCTACATCCTCGTGTACGTCGACGACTTGGTCTTTGCCACTGCGGACACTGCCGCACTCGCCCACGTGAAGTCCGAGCTGCAGAAGAGACACACGTGCACAGACCTGGGTGAACTGACAAGCTATCTTGGCTTGCGGATCACCCGGGACAGAGCACGCCGCACCATTACCCTGACTCAGTCACACATGGTGCAGCAGGTCCTTCAGCGCTTCGGCTTCACGTACTCCTCGCCTCAGTCCACTCCTCTGCCTACGGGACACTCGCTCTCAGCTCTGCCTTCGGATGAGTCCGTAGAGTCGAGTGGTCCGTATCCAGAGCTTGTGGGCTGCCTCATGTACCTGATGACCTGCACTCGACCTGACCTCGCATACCCTCTCAGCATCTTAGCACGCTATGTTGCTCCCGGCCGTCACCGGAAGGAGCACATGGATGCAGCTAAGAGGGTGTTGCGCTACTTGTGCAGTACGTCGGGCATGGGGCTAGTGCTTGGAGGGCGAGAGCGGCCTGTGCTCACTGGGCACTCAGACGCTTCTTGGGCTGACGACCAGGCTACTCAGCGGTCGTCTCAGGGTTACACCTTCAGTCTTGGCTCTGGCTCTGTCTCTTGGCGCTCTACTCGCTCTTCTTCTGTTCTCAGCTCCAGCTGTGAGGCTGAGATCTACGCCACGGCCATGGCTGCCCAGGAGCTTCGCTGTCTCACCTACCTGCTGACTGACCTTGGAGAGCGGCCTCGTTCTCCTCCAGTGCTGTACGTCGACAACAAGGCAACCATTGCCTTGTGTCAGGAGCACAGAATGGAGCACAGGACGAAGCACATTGCTCTGCGCTACTTTCTTGCTCGAGAGCTGCAGCAGCGTGGTCAGCTTCTTCTGCGTTTCGTGGCCACTGAGGCCAACACTGCTGATGTGTTCACCAAGGCACTTCCGCCTCGTGACCATCAGCGCTTTTGCACTCTGCTAGGCCTTGTGCCCACTGGGCCTCACTTGCTTACCTCTTGACCTTGCTTGTACTGCTGCATATACATATCCTTGCTCTTGCTTGTTTAGCACTGTTATATATATATGCTCTGCTGCATGTGAACTGGCCTTGTGGCCTTGACCTTGTGCTTGGAATTTGTGTGGTATCCTTGAGATCCACCCTGAGCTTGCTTTGCTTTTCTTTGCTTGTCTTGCTTGACTGGTCTTGTGACCCCTTGCTCTCCCCCACTTTGCCTATGGGGTTGTGTCAGGTTATATTTAGCTGATGCATGTATTGTAGGCTGCTGTTTGGGTAGACCATAGGGGGTACAACCCAATTAGGGTTGGTACTTGTATCCTTGTTTCATTCCATAGTACATCATTCATCGCCTCTATCTCAACAGAACAAGTGCTCCATACTTCTATTCAATATTCCCCCTGCTGACCTTGCTCATGCCGGGATTATACCCATCCGAGCCCCCAATGAGGCAGAACGCATCCTAGGAATCTACGTCGAGCGGTTACACCCTGGCTCCACCACCTGGAACAAGGCTCTCACGCGCATACAAACCACCGCCAAATTCTTGGCAGCCCTACACGCCACTGCCACATGCCGCAAATCCCTTTCCTCGATCTTTCTCAACACGGTCCTTACTTTTCCTGGACGCTTTCAACCCGTCCCACCAGACATAATCACACGCCTTGATATGTCTGTTGGGAACTTTCTCTCGTCATCGAAACATAAACAAGACGGCCTCGCTCAACGCCTCATTTCCAAAGGTCTCCTGTACAACTCCCCCCAAGACGGCGGGATCGGTGCGATCGCACCATCTATACAAGTCAAAGCTCTTGCTATTCAGCGCGCCTTGCGCAGATTTGGACCAACCCCCTCCGAGGAAGTAGCACGTACCTTGACCCCGTTCCCCTTCGGACTACACGGTCTACTCTCCCACAAAGCCATCCTCGAACGAGATTATCTCCCCACATTCATCCCCCCTCGGGCGCTGGACGAATTAAAAGCCCTCCTCTCCCTTCCACTAGTCATTCATGGCCCCCCTTTACGCATGCATTGTATCCTCACCGAACCAATCGCCTTCAACCGGTCAATCCTCAAACCTGACAATCGGCCTTTTGGCACCCGCCAACACGAACGCTTCCTCTTTACAGGGCAATTCCGCATCGGACACATTGTCCGAATCCACAACTTGCATGTCAGTCCTATCTCTGCCGAAGAATTTTGCTCCCAACTCCCGGAGGAATTCCACGCAGACGCAAAACGCATCCTCCCAGAGCTTATCAAGGCTATTAAACCACCTTGGTGGGCCGCCCTTCGAACCCCATACGCTTCTTCTGCATCCCCAGGAGATTGGTTCACGCTCTCAGAAGACATCTACACCGCATCTCCTCTCGCTTTCCAAGTTGTATCCTTCACCCCCCCCTCCTCCGTCTCGGCTACTATCCACCATGTCTCGCCAAATAAACTCATCGCCCGTGCCCCGGCAGCCACTGGACTCTTTCGCCTACAGGATCTCGTGGAGGTGTACGTCAGGGAATGATGGCTCGTAGGGCCGCTTCACCAAGGGGCTGGGTTAGGGGCTAGGTTAGGACTATCGCAGGATGGCACCCCCAGTATCGCCGACATCCGCCGCCTCCTCTACTCAGCACAACCACTAACTCACCACCTCCGATGGACCCGCGACCTCACCGTCCCTCCTCCTCCTCTCCCTGACCTTACACAGTCGTTTCTCAGGGATCAGCCGAGCCGTCAGCGGGACATCCTTTTCAGATTCTACACGCTCACCCTTCCCTCAGGGTCTCGCTTCCAATACTTTGATGACAGGGGGATCTGCCCTCGCTGCCCAGCCGCTGTCGTCGAGACAATACCACACATTTTCTTCGAATGCTCCTCCGCCCGCAACGTCAGCTCGGCCCTTCGCACAGTCGCTGACCGCCACCTTGGACAAACAACCACCGCCGAGAACATCTTCTTCCCAATACAGTCACGGGTAGGACAGTCCCCACCTTGGAGCCTACTAGTGGGAGCAGCCGTTAAGACACTGTGGCAGGCACGCTGCACCCACAGGAACCACAACTCCTCCTCCTCGAATTTTGAGATCCTGCAGCTGATTCTTGCTCAGTTCCTTATCGCCTTCAAAATTCTGATATGGAGAAGCCGACGCCAATCTCCCAAAAAGCGACAACGCACATCCTCCAGCATCAAGCGAGCACAGGATCTCCGATTCCTCCTCTTTGACCGAAACGGTATACCATCCATTCACCCCAACCTCAGATTCTCATGGCTCTTGGGGAACCCTTTTCGACCCCCGTAGACAGCTTCTGCATAGAGCGTCTCCCCAGGTCGCTGGCGGTTGTCCTCCGGACAAGGAAATAACGTGTGATCCACGTGCTCCTTATGGGATGCTGGCCACTCTGGCCATATTTTTAGACAGCTCTATGCTATATGACTTGTACATTGATTACGATAAATAAAATAACATTAACCCTGTGTGGTAGGCCTACGAATACCCAACCAAGGAACGACGAGAGGAGAAACATGTTGACAATCGCACAGCTCTCTCATTGGGTCGCGCTAGCGACAGGAGCAAGCTGCCAGATTGGACGACGACCTTCCCATTGATCCCTTCCGCGATTCGGTAGCTTCAGATTTGCTGTTGCTCCTTGTGACTGTTTTGTAACGTTGCACAGGCATCTCGAATGTTACAGTACACTTACAGACGGCGTTCCCCACGTCTACGGGTGGTTGTGTCGAAAGAAACTGAACACCGACATTGATAGTTGGCCATCTGTGTGAAATGCTTTTTCGTCAGTCCCCAGTGGGGATACTTCATACACACACCCTAGTGTTTAGCGAAACTGGTACAAAACAGTACAGCCGAGTCACACACAATATCCACGTGTTGCTGACAGTGTTTGACCCGTATTTGAGTCGATCAGACCCCACTTCAAATGTGCTGGCAAATCCAAGAGGTTACGCTGCCAAATCTTCGACAAACATCCAATCACGCAGAGCCTGCACCACTTCGCAGTCGGGACCACCCACCCAGAGCTTGGCGGGACAACCGCCAGCGACCTGCTTCGCATTACCTCCTGATTCTAGTTTATGACTAGTTTATGAATCATCATTGTCTTTCCAGAACGGCAGAGATAGCAGCGAGCAGCAACTCTTCGAGTCACCCTCACGCCTTATCAACTTCACATAAACGCAGACAAGTCTGTTGGTCTGTCTGTATAGTCTCTTGCTGCTGCTCTGCGCCTTTTCCGTGCATCCTGCTGTTGTTGCGTTCGCGCCTGATCGCCGGCCATCATGGACCGTCTAGCCGTGATTTCTGGGCATCTGTGTCCCCCAAAGCGCGACGAAGAAGAGCAGCAAGGTCGGCATCCATCCTGACTCGTGTTTCCTCATGTGTCCTCACGCATCGTCATGTGTCGTGTTTTCGCGTGTCCTTAAGTGTCTTTGGAGTTCCTGATACGCACCATCGCATGAAGTGCCGAACGTCGTCTAGGCTACGGACCATAGCTAAACAACGGATTTTCTTGATCCCATTGAACCCTTCAGTTCTCCTGTCTCGCACTGCGTCTAGTGATTACCGTCACTGTTGTTCCGTCGCGTTGCGACCATCTCGAGCATGCAGTCAAATGCATTCTCGTCCCTAACTTGTTGCCTGACGTCTACACGGAGATTCATTTTCACGTGGTTTTTACCTCTTATCTTGTGCATTCTCATTTCAGATGCACGGACTGTCGCGCCGTCACCAACGTTGTCGTTGATTAACACAGCCGATCCGCCGTCAACTTTCACCCAGGCCCAGCCGGCCACCGCCTTCCCGCCGTCAAAGTCCGACTACTTCGGCCTGAACGACCTGCTGACACCCGATCAGCAGGCTCTCCGGCTGCGAGTCCGAGAATTTATGGAGAGAGTCGTCGCTCCCGTCGCACCAGCTGTAAGGAATAGTCGTTATTCAAGGTTTAGTGGCAAGCTTCAAGATGATGTGGCAGGCCTTCTTTTTTCCCAATGCGAGACAAAGCGTCAGGCAGGTTCTTCCAGCGACGCGCTCTGATTTGTCAACGACTTCCGGTCCGCATGTGTGTGCAGTATTGGGAGAAAGCGGAGTTTCCGCACGAGCTGGTGCCCCAGTTTGCCACGCTCAAACTGGCTGGAACCACCATCAAGGTCAGTGCATATCGGGTTCTCCGGACGGGAGCAATACAAACATCTGGTTTTTATGTTGGTTGCTCACGTTCTGTGTTCAGAAAGCAACTTGTTCAGCAAGAGCTTGAACGGCGAGAATGAAGTCTTAAAAGATGTGGGATATTCTTGTTTGTTTTCGTGCTCTCGTCCTCCATGTGTCTGCGCCTTCAGGGCTATGGGTGTCCAGGCTTGTCAATGACAGCAGCAGGGATAGCTGCAGCGGAGCTGGCTCGAGTGGATGCGAGCTGTGCCACCTTCATTCTCGTGCACAGCTGCCTTGGCATGCTCACCATTGGTACGTGTGAAGACATGCACCATCGACACTTGCAAGTGCCTGTGCCTTATCATGACACGCCCTTAAAGGTCTTGAGCTTGAGTAGATGCGAACTGAGCCACATTCATTCTCGTGCACAGCTGCCTTGGCATGCTCACCGTCTGTGAGTGGCTGCTGTGTCTCTTCATACGTGAGTGTGCGTACGTTCTCAAGGCATGCGTCAACACTTGCAACAAGGGCCGCCTTACCATGCCATCTCTTTAGCAGTCATGAGCTTGAGTGGATGCGAGCTGCCTTTCTCGTCCGCAGCTGCCTTGGCATGTTATCAGTGAGCGTGCTTACCATTGGTGAGTCGTCAACAAGTCTCTGCTAAGCGATTGGTACATTCTATGCACGAGTTTTATGTGCTCCCTCTGACTGCTTTCTATGTTAAACCTTCATCTTTTCTTCGCTTGTCTCTGTGTTCCTTCTGGTTTGCTCTTTTCTCTCTCTGTTCATGCAGCCCTGTGTGGCAGTGAGGAGCAGAAGCAGAGGGATCTTCCACAGCTGGCAGAGCTAAAAAAAGTTGCTTGCTGGGTGAGAGGCTGGTGGGGGAAACAAAAGGGGAGTGGGGAAAGGGGGGAGGATGTTCGGAGAGCCTGCGGAGGATGCTGAATCTATGTCTTATGTGCAGTGTCCTGCTGATTAGGAGACTGGAGTAAGTTTGTTTTGAATGAGGGCGCTGATCTGTGCTCCTGCTGTCCTGTCTGCCCTCTCCCCTCTCTTTGACCCGCTGCGTATCACTTTCATTCCTGCTAATCAAGTGGACTACGGCAGTGACGCCAGTGCAGTGCACTCACCAATACGCCACACAGGGTGCAAAGCGGATAGGTGCTCTGCCTTCAATGTTTGGCAGAACCTGACCATGGCAGCGATGCTCTCAGCACCAGGGAACGCAGGGTGCAAGGCAGGTGGATCGTTGCTCAATCTCAGCCACCACATGTGATGTTTCTTCCCTTCCTGCTCTTCCCTCAGGGCTTGACAGAGCCCGACTATGGCAGTGACGCCAGTGCTCTCACCACCACGGCTCGCAAGGTGCAGGGCGGATGGGTGCTCAATGGTTTCAAGCGGTGGATTGGCAACAGCACCTTCGCTGACGTCATCATCATCTTTGCCCGCAACACATCGACCAATCAGGTCAACGGGTGAGAGTCGATTCCATTTTTTTGTGTTTTCCCCGATTGTCCTGTGCTCATACCCTGTGTTGTGACTCTTCCATCTGTCCATCTGTCCATCTGTCCATCTGGCTTTGCCTGCCTCTGTGGCTCTGTCTCTCTGTGCCTCTGGCACTGTGCTCCCCTGTAATAGCCCTCTTCCCTTCCTTGATGATACCTTGCGCTCTACAAGCAACTTGCCGACCATTTATACCTTCTCCACGCCCTTCTTTTCCCTCTTTCCCCTTTTCCAGTTTCATCGTGCGCAAGGGTGCAAAGGGGTACAGTGCGGTGAAGATGGAGAACAAGATCGGGCTGCGGATAGTGCAGAATGGGGACATCACCCTCAAAGACGTGTTTGTGCCGGACTGTGACCGCCTCCCAGGAGTCAGCTCCTTCCAGGACACTAACAAGGTGAGAGAAGTTTCAAAGTGGTGGAGTGCGGTACAGTGTGGGAAGTGTAGGTTGTGCTTAGTGTAGAACGGAGACATCACCCTTACAGACATGTTTGTGCCTGGCTGTGACCATCTACCAGGGGTATATTCTTTTCACAACACATATGGGAAGAGCAAGGCAACAGTTTCAGTGCGGTACAGTGCGGTTGCCAGTGTGCATGTGCAATTTCTATAGTGCGTCCTATCATTTATTCACCCCCTGCCCGGCTGCCTACCCTCTCTGCTTCTCAGGTGCTGGCAGTGTCACGGGTGATGGTATCCTGGTTACCAGTGGGCATGTGCATGGGCATATACGACATCTGCCTGCGCTACCTGCACCACTGACTCTTACTCAACTGTCTCTTCGCTGCCTCTTCCCCCTCCCTTCTATCTGCCTGCTCCTCGTGCTATCCCTCAGGTGCTGGCAGTGTCACGGGTGATGGTATCCTGGTTACCAGTGGGCATGAGCATGGGCATATACCACATGTGCCTGCGCTACCTGCACCACCGAGTCTCACTCAGCTCTCTTCTACCACCTCTCCCCCCCTATCACCTCTCCCCTACCACCTCTCCCCTACCACCTCTCCCCTATCACCTCTCCCCTATCACCTCTTCCCATCTACCTCAGGTGCTGGCAGTGTCACGGGTGATGGTATCCTGGCTGCCTGTCGGCATGTGCATGGGCATATACAACATCTGCCTGCGCTACCTGCACCACTGACTCCCACTCAACTCTCTCCTCTCCCCCTCCCCCCTCTCCTTGTCCCTCTTCTCCCCCTATTGCTTCTCCTCAGGTCCTAGCAGTATCGCGGGTGATGGTATCCTGGCTCCCCGTCGGCATGAGCATGGGCATATACGACATGTGCCTGCGCTACCTGCAGCAGCGCTCGCAGTTCTCCGCGCCGCTCGCCTCCTTCCAGCTGTGCCAGGAGAAGCTCGTGCGCATCCTGGGCAACGTGCAGGCCATGTCGCTGCTCGCCTGGCGGCTATCCCAGCTGTACGACCAGGGGAGGATGACGGCCGGGCATGCCAGCATGGCCAAGGCCTGGATCACTCTCCGAGCACGCGAAACGGCCGCTTTGGGCAGGGAGCTGCTGGGTGGAAACGGCATTCTGGCAGAATTCCTAGTGGCCAAGGTGAGAGCCTGATACTTATGGTCTGGAACCCCGAACCCGGAACCCTGTAGTGAAAGAAACCGTACGGAGAGTTGGGGCTGGGGCTCTGCCAGGAGAAGCTGGTGTGCGTTCTGGGCAACGTGCAGGCCATGTAGCTGCTGGCATGGCAGTTATCCCAACTGTACGACCAGGGGCAAATGACGGCCGGGCATGCGAGCATGGCCAAAGCGTGGATTACTCCCCAGAAACCCTAGGCAGGGAGCTTCTGGGGGGGAACGGCATTCTGGCGGAATTTCTGGTGGCAAAGGTGATTACTATACTTCCTAGCCCTGAACCTGGAACCGTGCAGTGAAAGTAACACTAAGGAGATTAAAGGGTGGAGCGATGCCAGGAGAAGCTGGTGTGCATCCTCGGCAACACGCAGGCCATCGCACACCAGCACTTCTGCCAGGGTGACTAATTTCTTCTCCCTGTGCTCCACTCCTCCTTGCAGCACTTCTGCGACTTGGAGCCAATCTACACGTATGAGGGCACGTACGACGTGAATGCGCTTGTGACGGGGCGGGAGGTGACAGGGATTGCAAGCATCAAGGCGCCTCCTGCTCGCAAGGCCAAGGACAGTGGCAAGGGCATGCTGTGAGGGGAGTGCTTGCGGGCAAAGGGAGTGGAGTGGAGTGGAGAGGAGTGGAGTGGAGGCGAGCGGAGCTGAGGAGGCGATGTGAACGCGCTTGCGACGGGGCGGGAGGTGACAGGGATTGCAAGCATCAAGGCGCCTCCTGCTCACAAGGCAAAAGACAATGGCAAGGGCATGTTGTGAGGGTGACGGTTTGTGGAGAGGGGAGGGGGGGGGTGGGGGGGGGGGGCGGGTGGACTGGAGGAGAGTGAAGGGGAGTGGAAGGGGTGAGAGGGATTGTGAGGGTGTGGGTTTGTGGAGATGGGGGGAAAGGGGGGGGAGGTAGACTGGAGGAGAGTGGAGGGGAGTGGAAGAAGGGAGATGGGGATTGCAAGCATCAAGGCGCCTCCTGCTTGCAAGGCCAAGGACAATGGCAAGGGCATGCTGTGAGGGCGTAAATGTGTTAACGGAGGATGAGGGGAGTTTGTGAAGAGCATAGAAGAATCACGAAGAGTGGAGTTCGTGATAGGCATGCTGTGGGGTTATAATCATGAAGGGGTTTTGTGATCAGACTTGAGATATGTTTGTCATCAATTGTAGAGTTTGCAGTACTGGTGTGTAATGAGCTGTACAGTTCTCATTGAATGGAGTGTACTTCGCTGGTTCTGCCCCTATCAGCACTGTGGTCCCTATTTTTGTTGGGTAACTATGACATACCCAAAGCAAATCCTCTCTAAAGTGCGATTGCAATCCATTGTTGGATACAACATGTGCACGGGAATATGGTACGTGGAAATATAATCAACCCAGGTTTACATTTTTATTGCCAGGTTTTCAACGACTGCGTAACACGCTAGTTACTGCACCGCATGCCCTCTAATGTGCATCGAATGTGCTCTTAGAAGGTGCTTGAACCAGAGAGCAGACGCCTTGGGGAATCTCGGAAGCGAAGGGTCTGTGAAGTTGACAAACACTGCACCAAACCGCTCTGAAAACCCCATGGCCCATTCCCAGTTGTCCAGTAGTGACCAGGCATAGTATCCCTCCACTGGCACGCCTTGCCTGCACAAGACATGGAGAGAGAAGAGATTCCATGAGACTGTTTCAGTAACAGTTGTTTCAGTAACAGTTTCAGTAACAGTTGTTTCAATAACAGTTTCAGTAACAGTTGTTTCAGTAACAGTTGTTTCAATAACAGTTGTTTCAATAACAGTTTCAGTAACAGTTGTTTCAGTAACAGTTTCAGTAACAGTTGTTTCAGTAACAGTTGTTTCAATAACAGTTGTTTTAGTAACAGTTGTTTCAGTAACAGACATGAGAAGAGATGCTACAAAGGAAACAAAATGAGGGGAGGAGGGAGGGGAGAGAGCAGGATGGCTATTGTGCTGCTTGGCACGAGTCACATTACGGGTGATAGGAGCAATAGAGAGGGCTAGTGAGAGCAGACGAGAAGCACTAGTCATCATACCGTCTGGCTTGAAGCACGCTGGAGAGGTAGGAGCGGTAGAGTGAGAGGAGGGGCCAGGGAAGGAGGGTGAGGGGATCGTACCACTTGGCTTGAAGCACGCTGGAGAGGTAGGAGCGGTAGAAACGAACACGCTGGTCGTCACAGAGGGTGCGAGCCAGTGAGCGCGACGGGAGGTTGGACTCACTCATTCCTGGTGTATAGGGGACGGGGAGAACACGTGGAAACACGTGGCACCATGTGAAATGAACAAATATATAAAAAAGGGTTCTGTGTGTGTACAGGTGAAAGGCACATGTACGGGTGAAACAGCCGCTGTGACTTTCTATATGATGCTAAAAATGGAAGTGTTACCATTTTCAGTGATGATGATGGGGACGGACGGATATCTGTGGCTGATCCACGTCAGGATGTGCTGGATTGCTGCTGGCACCACGTGTAGCCATGATGATGCCGTGCGCTCCCCTATAAGCTTCCCCGTTACAGGAGACACAGCTGGAAGGAGAAGGTTTCAGCGGGAAACAAAGGAGGGTTGATGGTGTGTGGAGAATGGGCAATGAACAGTAGGAGGGAATGGGGTGGACAGGACAAAGTACAGAGAAAAATGGAGAAGGGAAACCGTAAACTTCTTAAATCGATGAAAGCAGGCCGCAGGTGGGCTAGACTTGGGCTTATGTGGCACTCACCTGTCATGTCCACGTGGCAGTCCATCCATGGTGCCACCCCATCTGCCACGTCAGCTACCTCCCCACCAGCCCGAACCGTTTTCTGGGCGGCGTACTGTGCTGTGTAGAAGTTGAGGCCGATGAAATCTGAGGAGCCAATCAGCAGCGAGGATTCCGCGGCAGAAAAGGAAGGCAGACGCGAGCCGACAGCCTGGCGCATGGAGGGCGGGTAGTCGCCCCTGAAAAGAGGATCTGCGAACCTGGAAGGTGCGGGGAAGTAGGGAGGAAAAGTGGGGAGGGAAGGGGGGATCTCTTAGAGATTTGTAGCGGGGGACGAAGGGGCATGTGGTGGGGTTGCTTACTGCCTGGCGCATGGAGGACGGGTTGTCATTCTTGCAAAATGGGTCTGCAAACCTGAAAGGTGGGGAGTTGGAAGCAGAATGGGTAAGGTGTTAAGGGATGCAGAGCGATTGAGTGCGCTGGTATGCTGAGTCGATTCAAAATCTCCTTCGGAGGGTTTTTGAACCTGGAGGTCTGAGAAGCCAGGAGGGGAGAAACAGTAAATCCACCCACCTGCCCACCCACACACCCGCCCACCATGTAAAGGCGAACTCCATGCCTCGTTGTGCCGCGCCCACACTCCCCCGGGTGCCATCGGCCGGGAACAAAAGAACACAATCCATCGTCATGCCCATGCGCCCCCCTGCCCATGCGCCCCCCTGCCCATGCGGCCCCCTACTTCTTTCACTCACCCACCCACCTCCCACCCACCCACCCACCCACCAGGCGAAGGCGAACTCCATCCCTTGTTGCGCCGCGTCCACACTCTCTTGACTCCCATCAGCCGGGTACAGAAAAACACAGTCCATCGTCATGCCTATGCGCCCCCCTCCTCCCAATTGGCTGCTGTATCTCCTCCGATAGACGGCCACAGCAGCAGCATGGGCGAGCATGATGTGGTGAGAGACAATGTAAGGCTCAGTGGACGAGTCGCCTTGTTCGCAGGAAGAGCGGTTGGAGCAGCGGCCTGGCGCCATGGTGCCATAGCCATAGCCCTGAGAGAGGTGGGGTAGTGGGAAGGGAAAGACAGCAGCAGCAGCAGCAGCAGCAGCAGCATGGGCGAGCATGATGTGGTGAGCGACAATGTAAGGCTCGGTGGATGAATCCCCCTGCTCGCATGAAGTGCGATTGGAGCAGCGACCAGGTGCCATAGTGCCATAGCCGTAGCCCTGAGGAGGGAAGGGAGAAGGGAAAAGGCATGAGGGAAAACCCATTGGCTGTAGCACTGTCACTGGGTCACGGCCACAGCAGCAGCAGCAGCAGCAGCAGCAGCAGCAGCAGCAGCAGCAGCAGCAGCAGCAGCAGCAGCAGCAGCAGCAGCAGCAGCAGCAGCAGCAGCAGCAGCAGCAGCAGCAGCAGCAGCAGCAGCACCACCACCAGCAGCAGCAGCAGCAGCAGCAGCAGCACCAGCAGCAGCAGCAGCAGCAGCATCTTCCCTTCCCCCCTCTCCCCATCTCCCACTTTCCCCTTCTCAGCTCGCCCATCCCCCCTATTCACACCCCCCTCACCTGCACAGCAGTCTGCTGTGGCTCGTTGAACGTGATCCACGTCTTCACGCTGTTGCCGAAACAACAGGATAACTAGATTTGCTTTATCAAGCCTTCCCGTCTGCTTCCCCCTTTCCCCCATCCCCTCACTCACCTGCACAGCAGTCTGCTGTGGCTCGTTGAATGTGATCCACGTCTTCACCCGGTCGCCAAAGCGAGCGAAACACACGTCCGCATACCGAACAAAGGCGTGCCTGTGGGTGGGGGGGGGGGGGGGGTAGAGTGCCTGAGGTTGGGGGCCAGGTGTCTCGCCAAAGCGAGAGAAACACACGTCCGCATACCGGACGAAGGCGTGCCTGTGGGTGGGGAGGCAGGGAGAGTGCCTGAGGTTGCAGGGGTTGACGGAGTAGAAGAAATGACAGTTCAGGCGTCCCGGCGTTGCGAGCAAACACATGACGAAACACACGCCCGTGTACCGAACAAAGGCGTGCCTGTGGGTGGGGGGGGGGGGGCAGGGGTTAACTGAGTAGCAGATACAGCAGCTTAGGTGTCCTGGCAAGGCACAGTAGCACAAGCCCACGTGCCTGATGAAAGGGCGTGTCTGTATTCAGGAGCGGAGAGTGGGGTGGTGTTTGGATTATGCAATACCAACGACCTTTAGCTTGGGAGAAAAATGAGATTGGGCATGCAATAAACTCGGTAACGGCAATACACTCTTTCGCTCTGCAGCCACTCACACGATGCTTCTGTTGAGCCAGCCCGCGTGTGCCTCGTGCAGGGGCAAGGGCAGGTCCCAGAGGTAGAGGGTAACTCGTCGTGAGACATTGAAAACTCGGCAACAGCAACGAGTGACAGTGGGTACACTCTTTCTCTCTGCAGCACCACTCACACGATGCTCGCGTTGAGCCAGCCCCCGTGTGCCTCGTGCAGGTGAGAGGGCAGGTCCCAGTGGTACAGCGTGACAGCTGGTGCGATGCCATTGGCCAGCAGCTCGCCTATGAGGCGGCTGTAGTGCTGCACGCCCGCCTCGCTCACTGCTCCCATGCCATCTGTCCACGGGGTAGAGAAGGGAGGGAAGGGGACGAGGGGAGGCGGATGCGAGAGCACTGAGCAACAGGGGGCCGGCAGCTCGCCTATAAGGTGGCTGTAGTGCTGCAGCCCTGCCTCGCTCACTGCCCCCGTGCCGTCTGTGGATGGAGTATGGGAGCAGGGACGGGAAGAAGGTGGGGAGAAGAACGGGAGGGGAAGTGGCGGGAGGGAGATGGGGAGAGTGCTGAGCAACACAGGGGCCAGCAGAAGATGTTTTGAGACGTCTCAAAACATCTCTTTTATCAAGTGGCGGGAGGGAGATGGGGAGAGTGCTGAGCAACACAGGGGCCAGCAGAAGATGTTTTGAGACGTCTCAAAACATCTCTTTTATCAAGTGGCGGGAGGGAGATGGGGAGAGTGCTGAGCAACACAGGGGCCAGCAGCTCGTCTATGAGGCGGCTGTAGTGCTGCACGCCCGCCTCGCTCCCTGCTCCCATGCCATCTGTCCACGGGAGAAGGAAGGAGAGGAGGACCAGGAGGGGAGACAGTAGTGGGTGGAGAAGGGAGAGCGGTAATACTGAATACTATTCAGCATTCACTGCATACTGAATACCATTGACAGCGGTGGGTGGGTATGAATCATACCATTGACTGTTTGAACTCTTGTTGACTCACGTTGACTGCTTTGACTCACCAGGGATGATTCGCGACCAGGAGATGGAGAAGCGGTAGGAGGTCGCCCCCATGGCCTTGAGCAGTGCCACGTCATCCTGATGACGTGGCCACGCATACAAGCAACCAGGGGGAAAACAAAATGGTTAACGCACGCATAGAATGGTACGAAGAGAGTAGTGACACTCATTATTGAAGAAACACATTTGCTTAGTATACGTGCCAAGTCTGCATTCTTGATATGCTGTGCCTTATGGCGAGGATAAGGTGTACTTTACCGGTCTAGCCTCACCTTAAACCGGTGAAACTGATCGGCTGTGACTGACGGATTTGAAGCGTCCTTGATCTTTCCTGAAGATACAACAAGGCAGGCAGGAGTTGCAGATTAGGTAAGTTGCAGCTTCAAAAATTCGCCACTCAAAAAGCAATTCTTTCTAGGGATGAAGCAATGAATTAAGAGATGGAGGGGTGACTGGCAGGATTATCATCATTAGATGCCTCCCCACTCTCTATCCCCTCTCTCTATCCCCTCTCTCTATCTCCTCTCTCTATCCCCCCTCTCCTCCCCTTCACTGCATCACCACTCACCACCCCTCTCCTCTGCATCCCCTCTCTACTTTCCCTCTATCCCCTCCTCTCTCCATCCCCCCTCTCCATCCCCTCTCTCCTTTCCCTCGTTTCAATCCCGCCCTCCCCTCCACCTGCTCTTTCCGCAAAGTCGTCCCAGATGCTTCTCCCCCTTCTGCCCTCCGCCTCACCCGCCCTCTCCATTCACCCCCCTCCCCTCTCTACTTCCCCTCATTCCAGCCCGCCCTCCCCCTCACCTTCCCTCTCTGCAAAGTCGTCCCAAATGCTTCTCCCCCTTCCGCCCTCCGACACTGCGCCCTCCACCTGGAGCGCCGCATGGGCGGAAGGGGAGGGGGACGGGGAGGGGGAGGGGGAGGGGGAAGGGGGATACGGGAAGGGAGATAGAGGAGAAAGGAGGAGAGAAAGTTGGGGGGGAGGAGGGGGACGGGAAGAAGCGCGGAATAAGCAGGGTAACAGAAGATAGGAGCCAGTAACCGTGTTGTGTGCATGAGTGCATGTTATGAATGAAATCTATAACTGCGAGTATGCTCCGACGCTGCACCTGAACCCTCCACACGTGGCTCCCCTGCATCCCGTGCCACGTGGCTCACTCTCTCTCCGTGCCACGTGGCTCACTCTCTCTCCGTGCCACGTGGCTCACTCTCTCTCCGTGCCACGCGGCCTCACCTGAGCGGCGCTTGTAGCGAATCCGAACACGAAGTCTCCGCCAAAGTCGCTCGCGCGCAGCTCCCCTTCCTCCCGCGCGCCGTCCGCGAGCGCGTCCAACGACGGGCAGCCCTGGGGGAAGCGCGGGGGAGGGGGAAGACGGAGGGGAAACGAGGTTCTAGCGGCGTGGATAGGGGAAGGGGTAGGAAGGTGCGGGGGATTTGGGGGGAGCGGGAAGGGAAAGTGAACAGCATGTGGACTCGTCGGCAAGAAACAGAGGCTGTTGGGCGTATGCGGTACAGCGGCGTGCAGATCGGTGGGTGGCCACCCACTCGCACAATCACCTGCTCGTGCATACCTTGAGTATCCTTCTGCTCGTATCGAAGAGAGCTTCTGCCGCGGATAATCTCGAATTTCCTGGAAATTGTCCCTGGCGGGGACTGTTATCAAGATTGCCGCTCTCTCGCGTCTCTGGAAACGGACGGGCTTTTGAGAAGTTCAAAGGTAGCTCGGGGAAGGGAGGAGCTTTTGAGAATGACTTTTGAATCGACTCAAAAGTCGCATCGTGGGGACTGTTATCGGATTTGCCGCTCTCTCGCGACTCTGGAGTCGGCCGAGCTTTTGAGAAGTTTGAAGGTAGCTTGGGGAAGGGACGGATTGAAGAAATAGCGTCAGAACTTTCCGGCTTGAATCCTGCCCGAGTGTGATTAAAGAATGTTAAGGACGGCTCCTCTTGAACCCTTGTCGAAGTAATGTTACTGGTGTCTATTAACTCATGAACCAGGCTAGTCGGTGTATGCTCTTGAGTGGCAACATCATGCCGTATATCGGAGGCGCTACTATCGAGGACACTGTGCTCGCCGTGAGCGAGAGCAAGTGCGAGACACGGGATCAGCCCCGCTAAGAGCACCAGCGCTACTATCACAGCGCGCCGGATCGCCAGACGAGCCATAAGCGCGCCGACTCTACTGCCCAAGCTGGTAGCGGTGCTGCTGCTGGCGCTGTTGCTGCTATTTTCGCCGCTGTTGATGATAACAGTGGTGCCGCTTCGAGCGCGCATAAGCGAGAGTTCAAGGAAAATGCGCGTTAATTAAAGATCACCCAGCGTGGCAACTAGACTTCTGGATGCGCTACATGGCGATGCGCGTGGTAAGTACCTCCCTAGATAGATCCTACTAGAGGAAAGGTGTCGGAGGGAGAGTGGGGACTAAGGAAACTGGGAATACCTTAGACTGGGGACTGAGGAGACGGGTGGAGACTGGGGAGGATAGAGACTGGGGAGAGAGAAGTGGTGGGACGAAGGATGGAGGACTGAAGGGAGAGGTAGACAGGGAGGGAAGGGAAGAGGCAGGGAGAGGGAAGACGGGGAGCGCGATAGGGAGAGAGAATGAGAGGATGAGCGCGAATGCGGGGCGAGAGGATGTGGCGGAGGTGCAAATGCAATGCGAGGGGTTACGGAGGGCCAAATTGCGCCTCTTCAAAGGCGGCGGCGCAAATTGAGCGACTCGAGCGAAAAAATGTGCGCTTCTTCCGACTGGCATGGCGAGTTTTGTGCAACCACTGAGCGTGTACGGCGACGAGTTACTGGCTCTGTTTAGCGCCTCTAACGAAACCACGGTAGGCGATGATTGGGTGCTGTTTGAGTGATCCCCATGCGCGCCGTGCTGGCAACGCTGCAAATCCGCCGCTTGTGGTTGGTGAGAGTCCTTCCAGCGCGAATAAAATTATGGGTTGTGAATTGTAAGGAAATTCCCTTTTCCTTACTTTGCATCTCTACTCAACGCGTACATCACTGTAGCACCTCAGTCAGCACCGTTACCACTCGCGACCATCGCATCATTCATCATCCCGCCATTTTCGCACATCGCATCCCGACCTCACGGCTCGGCTGGTAACCCGCGCTCCGGGCCTACGCTTCGACACGTTCCCAACCTCAGTCCCAGGCTCGTCGCGCGACCATTACCGTTACCACTGTAGTTTCGCTATATATTCTTCGCTCATGCCTTCGCTCATTGGACTCTTGCTTCGATAGTGCAATTCTCGTTCGTTCACTCAATTGCACTCGTAACACTTGGTATTCAGAGCCTACGATCCCATCTCGGACCGCATCCACACCTTCGCTTCCCCACTATCTCAATTTTTTGGGGGGGTAGACGTCTCTCAGCGATACAGCACCGCCGCTCGTAGTACTCTCTCGCAAGCACGCACGGCCACGACCGAGGCTCTCGCTGAGCTTGCCCGACACCCCCGCCATGGCCGACTTCACGCTCGCCACATTGACGCAGGAGCAACTTTATCGTCTCGTGCGTCAACTGGAGGATTCGGCGCTTGAAATCGCGACCCTCACGGTGGAACTTGACTCCGCCCGTCAACAATCCACGATGAACATACCGACGACATCCCACGCACCAACAAACGCATCTGCACGTTCGGATGAGCCAGTCATCATCTCGTCCGGCACACCAACACAACACGACAGCACGGGACAACGCTCAGGCGCAGCCAGTGAGGGCGCCGCCCAGCCGATGCCTGGCATGGGAGGAAACAGGATCGCACCAAGCCCACGGGAGCCTCGAGAAGTCCGTCGGCACGTGGAATTTGCGGCGACAAGTGGCGAACAACCCAACATGGCACCAATGCTGCTCAAGCCGCAACGCCCGCCCTGCTTCGACCCAAGTCAACGCGGCGGTCCGACAGTTCAATCGTGGGTCTTCACGATGAACGTTTTCTTCGACGCCAATTACGTCGAGTCGGACGCCGCAAAGATCCGGTATGCGGTTTCACTGCTAAGGGGCCCCGCCATGGACTGGTGGCGAGTCATCGTGACGTCGCCACGCGCCTACGAGCCACCGTCGCACGAGGAAGGGCCCTTGGGTCCAGCTGTCACCTGGAGTTCGTTCTGCGAGACCGCCCAATACAGCACGTGGGATGCGTGGTGCGCAGGACTTCAGGCGCGCTTTGAGCCGATCGCGGCTTCAATTTCGGCGCGTCAGAAACTGCGCACTTGGCGCCAGCTCGGGTCAGTTCAAGACTATACCAGCGGTTTTCTCGCACTTTGCGAGCAGGTCGGCTACATGCACGAAGCGGAGCGGGTGGACCGTTACGTCGGAGGGCTGAAGCCGGACATCTCGCACGAGATAATGCTGCGCAGACTCTCTAACTTCAACGAGATTCTCGCGCTCGCCGAGAAGATCGACATTCTACGCCGACCGAGACCGGGGTCCTATTACGGACATCGTCCTCGGGGACCGACCGAGCACGCCACTGTACACGCCGTCGCAACGAATGCAGCTGCCGCACCGTTCAAGGGGCGCTGCTTTGCTTGCAACAGGCCGGGCCATCGCAAGAGCGAATGCCCAGAGGAGCTGAGGCGCCGAGGAGCAGAGCAGGGGAGGGAGTCTCAGAGGCAGGGAAACGCCAGCAGTCAGTAGAAGTTGGGCCAACTACTGACGAGACTGCCTGCTCGCCCAACCACACCGACCCTCACCGAGTCACAGTACCGATTCATGCCATCGATCGGGCTCGGATGAATAAGAAGGGTACAGCGACGGATTGCCCGGTACTAATCTACGGGAAAATACAGGGAGCAGTAGTGAAGATTTTTATTGACGGAGGAGCAAGTCACAGCTTAGTTAATACCGCAACCGCACGGAAATTACAGTTAACACTTAACCGATGCTTACCTGAGATAGATGCACGCTTAGTCGACGGCACGCCACTGGCTATACGGGAAAAGGTGGAGAGAGTAAAGGTCCGCTGCGGAGGGAACTTCGGGTTTACACAGGAAATGCTCGCAACGACACTGGATGGGCACGACATTTTATTGGGACGTGATTGGCTGCGACGGTATAACCCACGAATTGACTGGACGACGGGTAGCTGCACAGTGCGAAGTAGTGGTAACTGGGTCGTCCTACCTCGCTGGCAGCCACCCGAGTCTTCGACGGTCCAAATCAACGCCATCACGATGAAACGGGCTGTCGCTGCTGGAGCTGACGTGTACACAGTGGATATCGCATAAGTGGAAAAAGAGGACCAGCCGAGTGATTTGCAGAAACTGTTGGCAGCCGTACCACCCGAACTACAGGCACTACTGAAACGGTTCCCGGGTATCTTTCCGGATGACTTACGGCAAGGGCTGCCACCTCAGCGGGCGCATGACCATAGGATCGAGTTAGAACCGGGGGCACAGCCAACTGTATAGCGCCAATTTCGACTGACACAGCCCGAGCTCGACGAGCTAAGGAAGCAGTTAGATTACCTGTTAGAGAAGCAGTTTATCCGACTGAGCTCGTCACCGTTCGCCGCACCGATACTGTTCACACCGAAAAAAGACGGAGGATTTCGCATGTGCATTGATTACCGAGCGCTCAACAGAGTAATAGTCAAATCGCGATACCCCATCCCCGCGCCGACGAACTGATCGACCAGCTGCGAACAGCACGGGTATTTTCGAAAATAGACTTACGGGGGGGTTACCATCAAATTCGGGTCGAACCATCGGACTGCGCCAAGACAGCATTTAGGACTAGGTACGGGTCATTCGAGTACACGCTGATGCCTTACGGGCTGACCAACGTGCCCGCAACATTTTAGATGACCATGAACGAGGCGTTTAGGCCACTTTTAGATAAATGCGTGATAGTTTACCTCGACGACATCCTCGTTTACAGTCGCGACCAGCAACAACACTTAGTCGATCTCGAAGCAGTGTTTAAAATTTTAGAGGAACATCGGTTACTCACCAAGGGCTCCAAGTGCGAGTTTTTTCGGGATAGGCTAGAATTTTTAGGGCACGTTATTTCGGAGGCTGGAGTTGAAATCGACCCCAAGAAGCTGGATACCGTAAAAGCGTGGCATCCCCCGACGAACATCACGGAGCTGCAGAGTTTTTTAGGGTTCGTTAATTACGTTCGTCGGTTCGTCCCCGACATGGCACGATTAACAGCCCCGCTAACAGATTTACTACGCAAGGGGGTCGCTTTTACGTGGGGGGAGAAAGAGCATGCTGCCTTCTCTGCCCTGAAACATGTTCTCTGTTCACCACCCGTCCTACGCATCGCTGACCCACATCGCCCCTTCGAAGTTGTTACAGACGCAAGCGACATCGCCATTGGAGCCGTACTGTTACAAGACTTCGGCAACGGCCTCCAGCCCATCGCCTACGAATCACGAAAACTGCATCCGCCTGAACGAAATTACCCGATACACGACCGCGAAATGCTCGCGATCGTGCATGCATTCAAAGTATGGCGTTGCTACTTGACCGGCGCAGACGTGACAGTACGGACAGACCATCGATCCCTACAGTACCTTCGCGCACAGCCCCACCTCAACCCACGACAGATTCGGTGGCTCGACTTCCTCGAATCGAATTTCCACTATACGGTCACATATAAAAAAGGAGCCTCGAATATCGCCGACGCACTGACCCGCCCCACTGCCCAAATACATGCGATACTACTCGCCCAGACCAGCCCATTACTGACAGGACTATTTACCCACGGATATCAAACAAACCCATTCTTCACAGGAGGAATTTCACAGCTATTCGCAGCAGCCAAGGGAGCCTATTACGTAAAAGCTGGATCCGACCGCATCTGGGTACCGGGGTACACGCTACTACGGGAACTACTGTTACAGGAGGCACACGACGGAGTTACCTCGGGACATTTCGGAGTAGAAAAAACACGGCAGCAGCTGCAGCGGTACTATTACTGGCCGGAAATGTTGACCGACGTGCAACGACACGTGGCATCGTGTCCCACTTGCCAACTCATGAAGTCAACCAGGAAGCGGCCGGCAGGACAATTACAACCAATCCCACCTCCAGAGCGTGCTTGGCAGCAGGTGACGATGGACTTCGTCACGGGGTTACCGGCCGGGGCGAGTGGGAATGACGCGATCCTGGTCGTCGTCGATCGACTAACGAAAATGGCACATTTCGCAGCATGCAGGAAATCAATCACAGCCGAGGAAACAGCCCGACTATTCATCGCCACCGTCGTTCGACTGCACGGGATACCAGCATCGATCATCAGCGACAGGGACACGAAGTTTACCAGTAATTTCTGGCGGAACTTGTGGCAGCAGTTCGGCACGCGACTTCAATTCAGTTCATCGTATCACCCCGAAACCGACGGACAGACAGAACGGACAAACCAGACTATGGAGCAACTCATTCGAGCCACGTGTGACGATCCAAATACGTGGGAGCAGCAGCTGCCTCTCATTGAGTTCGCATACAACAACGCGCCATCTGCCACGACCCAACAGTCGCCATTCTACTTGAATTACGGACAGAACCCAACAGTACCCATGACACCAAACCCCGACAATCCCGTTCCACGCGCACAACAGTTCGCCGAGATTTTGCAAGCAGCACGGACCAGGGCAGCAGAAGCAATTAAAAAATCAAATATCATCGCTAAACGCAACGCCGATCGTCACCGCAGACCCGTCACTTATCTGCCCGACGACCTCGTTTTACTCGACACTCAGAACCTCCGCCTGCCCATCACTCCCAAACTCCGCCCTCGATACTGTGGGCCATTTCGAATCAGTCACATGATCACACCTGTCACCGCGCACCTCCTCCTTCCTGCTGACTGGTACGTCAACCCCTCGTTCCACGTCAGCCTGCTTCGCCCTTACGTACCATCCACCAGCCAACTCCCACGACATCGACCATCCAGCATGTCACGACCACCAACCGAACCAGTCATCACCCCCGACAAAATCTTGAGCCACTGAGTTCGCGACCCTCGAGGGGCCCGAAAAGTTGAGTTTCTGATTCGCTGGAAAGATCGTACACCCACCGAGGACAACTGGGTTCCCCTGGACAGAATTGAAAACCACCCTGTCGTCACCGACTATCTACGCAGCCGAAACTTCAAGGACGTCCACGCGCTTTCGTAAGGAGGACCTTTTAGGAGGGGGGGGTAGTGTAAGGAAATTCCCTTTTCCTTACTTCGCATCTCTGCTCAACACGTACATCACTGTAGCACCTCAGTCAGCACCGTTACCACTCGCGACCATCGCATCATTCATCATCCCGCCATTTTCGCACATCGCATCCCGACCTCACGGCTCGGCTGGTAACCCGCGCTCCGGGCCTACGCTTCGACACGTTCCCAACCTCAGTCCCAGGCTCGTCGCGCGACCATTACCGTTACCACTGTAGTTTCGCTATATATTCTTCGCTCATGCCTTCGCTCATTGGACTCTTGCTTCGATAGTGCAATTCTCGTTCGTTCACTCAATTGCACTCGTAACAGTTGTGAATTCTTGTGCACCATGCTAAAAGGAATAACACAATCCTACGGTACCATAAATAAATGGAGCAGACAATTGTAACAGCTGGTATTGAAAGAAATGCTTTGGGAAATGGTCTGGATTCAGGGGAATGAGAAGGTTTCTCAAACAGCATAAGCGTCATACACTAGAGGCATCTTCCCCTACACAGCTTTCAACTGTCCTACCCTGAACAGTGCCAGAATAGCACAAGTCTGCAAAGCCCAAGCCAGATTGCACCACCAAGCAAGAAACATTGCCATCTCCCTCACCAGCAGTGGTGGCAACAGGGACCCCTCTTTATCGAACAGTGGATCCAACTCTGGTCCTCTGCTCCTTGCAATACCCACCAGCAGGAGTGTGACTACAGGTAGCGCAACCGCTTGAATAGCAACCTTGCAGATGAAATAATATGTCAGCTGCACGCGTGCGTTTACACGATGATAAGCCCACTCCTTGCCAGAGTGTAGCTGATCGTACCAATACACCAGCGCAGTATTGAGGTGTGACTGTACGGCAATGCGGAGAAGCAGAAGGCGGGAAATGCCACTGAGGAGAACAACTGCCACCTGGAGCCACTCGATTGGAAGGCCACCGCATTGGCCACTCATAATGGATTTAATCAGAGAGCCAACGTAAGCACCCAAGTGGGAGAGAGTGGATACACCAGCAGCAGCAGTAGAATTAGAAGCACCAGCAGTAGCATTAGCAGCAGCAACAGAAACAGAACCCAAAGCACCAGCCGAAACAATGTCACCGCCACCACCAACAGCACCGCCAGACCCACCAGCTACACCACCCCCAACCGCACTGAAAACAACTACAGGCTCCAGAACTTCCGTCAGGGGACGAAACCAGAGCGCTGCTGCGAGCACAGGCAGCAGAAAGCTGACATTCCAGAGGAGAGAGGACCAGAAACCCTGATGGATGATCCCTGTGTCCCACGGCTGCTGACTGGTGGAGAGATAAAAGCAGCGGACGAATCGGATGGCAGCAGGGAGGCACAGCGCGCCGATGACCCCTGCGAAGAGCACCAATGAGGTTTTAATGAAGGTTGGGGGGATGATGAATTCGGGGATGTTGTCCTTGGCGAGTCCCTTCGACTTGAAGTGATTCGTTATAGTCACGCTGGCCTTCTCCGCGACGGAATCGAAGTCGAAGCCGGTGAGAGACGCAGGCAGGACGAAGAGGAGGAACCCCGTTATAAGGCAGCTCGTTATCCCAGCAAGAGCACACTGCGTGAAATCTGAGGATCGGGTTGTGCCTCTGTCCCACTCTACAGAAGCCCAGTTCCGGATTATCTTCCACAGAGCCACAGCTGCAAGGAGAAGCGGAATCATGCCGCCATGATCCATCAGGAAAAGGCCAGTGGAAGAGGAATGTAGATTCTGCTTCGGGGTGTTCGGATCTGCATTCTGCTGCTGCTGGCTTTGCTGGTTGGCGATGATTCCACTCCCCTGAAGGTAAATCTCAATGGCGGTCAGGATTTCCCGGGAAAACACCGCCATGATCCCTATGCAGGCGAACAGGATAGTTTCGTCGAATTCGCGAAAGAACTTTCGCGAATAGAGGTGACCCTCCTGCACGAGAATTCGCATCATCTTGCCGCTTGTTTCGTCCGCTTCCGGCTCGTTGTTTTTTCTCCTGCCCCTGTTTTTTCCCTGCCCGTTGGGAGCGGATGACATGGGTACTCCCGCATTTTGATCGGTAAGAACGTAAACCTGCAGTTGCCGGAGAAGACGAACCGGTACCCCATAACGAACAACGAGGAAGCTTGTAATGAGACAGACTACGGAGTAATAGACGACGCTGAATATTCCCAGCATCGTGATCCGTCCCTTTCGAGTCGGATTGAAACTAAATTATTGAATCAGCTGACGTTGAACAACAAGGAAACGCTGAATACGAGGAGTTGAAGCAGAGAAAGGAACGGCCGATTGAAGGATAAGCGGACTGGAGAGGAACGAAGGGGACAGGGGAGAGGATTCGCGATTGGGACACAAGCCTAAGCAGCAGCAGGAGTGTGACTACAGCGAAAGTGGCTTGGGCTCGTTACGAGCGTCTTTAGGCACGCCGCTTCGTCGCTTGCCATGACACGGCTGTCATTCAGAATCTGTGACTACAATTCCCCGAATTCTGCTCCGATCTACTTGCAAGTTCTGCTCAGCTATGCACTCCTCGAATCTGCGTCCCTACTGGCTTGGGCTGACTCGTTTGTCCGTTGAGATACGTATACTCCAGAGGGAGTAGGGAAGCTGCACGAGCAAGAGAAGGAATCCAAAACGGTCTGGACTGGAAGAACTGGAATCTCCCAGTGCGGTACATATGTATCCAAAACGGTCACACCGCCGCAAGTTTTCAAACCGCCTCCGATCTGCGTGACACCCGACCAGCAGAATATCATTCTTGTTATTAAATTAATATCGATTCACCTACTAAGCTAGAACAGGGATGCATCCTGCAAATCCCTAGCAAAATTTCACAAAAAAGAAGCAGAACTAAAGAGGCGGATTTTCTCCCCACAGCAACAGAAGCAACAAGAACTACATCCTACATGGGTGATAGACGTGAAGAGGATACTGGTACAATTTGAAATCACAATATGTATGGCTTCGACATGGCCTCCATAATCCTCCACTCCAACTCGTCCTCCCTGATCCATCTTGCGCTCTCCATCCGCAAAGCCGTCTTGGCCGCTTCCTTGCGAGCATTGATCTTCTCCTCCCTTTCTTTGAGCCGCGCTGCATTCATCACCTTCAGCTCTTGCTGCTCACATAAAGAAAAGGTGTGGTGAAGAAGGGGGGGTGTGCGGGTGGGGGCCGGAGGATGGGGTGGGGAAGGAGGATGGGGTAGGGCAAAGGAAGAAAGAAAGAAACAAACATGAACAATCCCAGGGATTATGGGTGGGCCAGGGATTACGGGGGAGAGAAGTGCTTCTCCAGACCATCCCACACACCTCTAACTTGAACAATCTTCCTCCCCCCCCTTCATCCTTATGTTTCCTTCCCACCCATCCCGCCCACCTTTTAGCTGCTTACAGCTTCTCCTGCTCCTCCCTAGGCCTCACCACACCACAACACCCAACCACAACATGCACGACCCTTCCCCTCCCCCCTCACAGCCCCCTCCCCCCATCCTTGTCTTCCCTCCCACCCACCCACCCACCTAAGCCGACTTCCATCTTCCCCATTTCTCACCACCCCTCCCCCCCCATCCCCCATATCCTTTTTTCCCCGCCCAAACCCACCTTTGCTGCTCGCAGACTCTCCTGCTCCTCCCTCGCCCGCGCCGCCCGGGCGGCCCTCGCGGCCGCTTCTCCTCCGCATGCGACTCCTTCTCACTCGCCGCAGCCTCTCTGCACTGCTGCTGCCCCTCCCTGGGCCTCACCACACCACAACACACAAACCCAGCAAGCACGACCCCTCCCCTTCCCCCCCACAGCCCCTTCCCCCCCATAATTTTCTTCCCTCCCCCCCCCATCCCCCATATCCTTTTTTCCCCACTCATCCGACCCACCTTGGCTGCTCGCAGACTCTCCTGCTCCTCCCTCGCCCGCGCCGCCCGGGCGGCCCTTGCCGCCCGCTTCTCCTCCGCATGCGACTCCTTTTCGCTCGCCGCCGCCTCTCTGCGCTGCTGCTGCGCCTTCATTGCTGCTCGCCGCAGCTCCTGCTGCTCCTGCGCGTATGCCTTCCGGAGAGAGGACACCTGGGCTTGGTACTCCCTCTGCCTCTGCGCCAAGTCCTGGGGGGAGAAGGTGAGGGGGGAGCAAGGGGAAAGGAGGCAGGGAGGGATGTGCCTGCTGCGCCTTCAGCATTTTCCGCCGTAGCTCCTGCTGCTCCTGCGCGTATGCCTTGCGAAGGGATGACACCTGGGCTTGGTAGTCCCTTTGACGCTGGGCCAAGTCCTGGGAGGAGGAGGTGAACGTGGAGTCAGGGGAACGGAGGTAGAGGGGGAGGGATGTGAGTGCTGCGCCTTCAGAGCCACCCGCCTCAGTTCCTGCTCCTGCTGCTCCTGCATGTATGACTTCCGGAGAGAGGACACCTGGGCTTGGTACTCCCGTTGACGCTGGGCCAAGTCCTGGGTGGGAGACAGTGAGGGGGTAGACATGTAGGAGGTAGGAGGGATGTGCCTGCTGCGCCTCCAGTGCTGCTCGCATCAGCTCCTGCTGCTCCTGTGCCTATGCCTTGCGGAGAGAGGAGACTTGGGCCTGGTAGTCCCGCTGCCGCTGTGCCAAGTCCTGGGAGGAGGAGATGAATGAGGGTTCAGGGGAAAGGAGGGAGGGAGGGATGTGCCTACTGCGCCTTCAGTGCTGCTCGCATCAGCTCCTGCTGTTCCTGTGCCTATGCCTTGCGGAGAGAGGAGACTTGGGCCTGGTAGTCCCGCTGCTGCTGGGCCAGGTCCTGGGAGGAAATGGGGGAGGGAATGAACGGAGAGCAGGGACGGAGGTGAGTGCTGGTAGTAACGGCTTCCGCAGAGGAGGAGGTAAGTAGCGGAGGGGATTTTACAGGCGAGTGTTGAGTCACAGACTCAAAAAAGGCTTACCTCTAATGGACCAAGGGATGCAGCTGTTTCAGTAGGAGATTCTCAAGGGGCGGAGAGGAAGGTGGGGTTAGGGGAGGTATCGAAGAGAATCCTGTAGTTGGGTGTTTAGATGAATCGACTCAAGAGTGGCTTACCTCTAACGGACCACGGGATGCAGCTGTTTCAGTAGGAGGTTCTGAAGAGTGGGGGGAGGCTGAAGAGAAATCCCTGCGGGAGTAAACGCACAGAGTGAAATGGGCGTGGAGGGAAGGGAGCAGAGGGGTGAGAGTTGACAGAGCGACAGGCGAGAGGCAGTCGAGGAAGCGCATAGAGAGAGAGAGAGAGGAGATGGTTGAGGGGAGGAGAGACGAGGTAAAGGAGGGAAGAGGAGCGCGAAGAGCGGGGAATGAGGCTGGAGGGGGAGAATAGAGGGGAATTGAAGGGATGGGGGAAGAGGGGGAGGGAGAGGAGGGGGAGGAGGGAGGGGAGGGATGGGGGGGAGGGGAGGGGGAGAATGGCATTGTTTCTAGGGGCGACGAGGAATGTACCTTACGGGGCATGTCGAGGACGCGGGAGATGTAACGACTAGCGAAATCGGAAAGCCGTTTGCGAACGCCGCGAACGGCCATGTAACGGATCGATCTGCCGCTCCGTGCGACCGGATGCGAGAGACGACGCGCGCAGCCATCTGTCGCAGGAACGATACTACGAGATTCAAAAGAGCAGAAGACAGGTGCGCCGGTTGGGAGTTCTCAGATGTGAATCAGCTTTCTGAGCCAGTTCTAAGTCGTTTAACGGTCGTGAAAGCCACGACTGGTGGTGCTGCTGCTGGTAATGGTCGTGGTGATGTGGCGGCGCGGCGGAGCGCGTGGCGAAGGGAAACGATTGGGTGAGCGATTGCGGCGAAGAAGGGCGGATCGCGATCACGTTGGCCTTGGGATTCTCGCCTGGTCACACGCGAGTGACTGGCAGCAGCAACAAGAACCATCGTGGCGCGATGGGAGCTGAAGAAGTAGGAGGAGCTGGAGCGGGAGATGTCAACCTAGACTCTATCGCGGATGACTCAGCACCCGGAGTGTGCATAAGCAATACAGTTATGTACTAACGAGCTTAGGAAAGGCCAAAACACTCTTGAAAAGGGTTCAATTCAGTCCTATTTCCAATTTACATATGGTTTGATGCCCTGTACGAAGAATTTGCACATCTACATGAACTTGCGCTGCGGTCGGCCTTCCAGTTCCTCTTGCTTCCTCTGCATCAGCGCACAAATTGCAAGCAATACAGCAATGAGTAAATGAATAACCTCGAAAACACGGTTCAAGCCAAGAAGACATGCGCTGTGATATATCCCAACAGGTTGGGCCTGTGGAATGGAAGGAAGTGAATCCAATCAGCAGAGACTAAAAGACGACTGCTTGCAAAATGAAAGCAAACCCAGGCAAAATTCTAACCCTTGCTGCTGAGTAAGGGAAGGGAATTGTGGTTAATCATGGAATGGGGTGATTTGAAATTAGAAGTGCGTTGAGGGCAACGAAGGAACAAGAGGGAGCATGGGGTAGAGAAACGAGGGTGGACACGCAGACAGACAGGCGGACAGGTGGACGAATGATACGAATGCAAAAGATGGAAAATGAAGCAATGAATGTGAACGCTGTGAGTGCACATGTTCAGTCCAATTCATCATCTAATGAATATAAACAGAATGGAGCCTGGCCGGCAGCATGCTTACAGAGCAAAGGAAATCTATTTGGTGCATTACACCATATCCTCTCAAGAGAGTGGGTGCAACTATAAGACATCAGCCCTTGCAAGCTCTATATTTTTCCTAACGACAACTTATTTGTTAGGCAAAACCAAGGTTTACCATGCAAAGCAGTGTGCGAGGGTCGAGAGAGCGCAGGTGGAGAGGAGGGTGAGAAGTGGTGGGGGGAGAGGGGGAGATGGGGGGAGGGAAGGGGAAGGGAAGGGAGGGGGGAATGGAGGAGGAGAAAGGTACGCAAAAAGAAGTCCCTGCCCTTCCCACCCTCTTCACCCACCAACCCTAATCAAATATAACGACTTCACAAAAAAAAACGGGTCTTACGAATTCTGCGATGGTGCCTCGGTACACGACAACGGGGAGGACGACGATTGCGAGCGCCGCGATCGAGAGCGTGCGACGGTTGAAGCGAAAGATCTTCTCGAGGTTCTCGCGCCGCGTGCCCCAATCCTCGATGTACTTGTTCTTATGCACGTCGAGACCCCCCGCCATGGCTACGAGAATTTGCAGGTGCTCGACACTACGGAGAGATAAGAAAGCAGCGCGAGTGCGAGCACAGGCGAGAAAGCAACGCGAGGATACGCAGAGACACGAGCTTGCAGACGTAAGTGATGCTGTGTGCAGGCGAGGGAACGGGATCGGAAATGGCTGGCGCGATCGAAGGGTGCTGGGAGTTCTGGTGGAGCGGGGAGCGAGGGATGGTGTCAGCGGAAGCGACGGCGGCGATGACGGGTAGATGGTTGGCAGAAAGTTACGGTTCGCCGTGCCTGAGGCGCAGCTGATATCTAAGCAGTGGTGCACAGACTGGACAAACTTGGCTGGTGACCTATTACAACCTTGTTACGTGTTTAGAAAACAAGCACAGAATATACAGTTTCGTCAGAATTAGTTCACCATAGATGTTGATGATTCATGCACTAGTCATCCTCTTCCTTATTGTCTATCAAACCTCCACTTTCCCCTTCATCCGTCTTTGCTCCACCTCCCTGCTGACCTTCCTCCTCATCCCCCATAGTGAGCTTTTGCCTCTTCCACTTGTAAGCAGCCTCCAAGATCTTGAGATTAGGTTGGTTAGCCGCTTCATCAGGGAAGATGTAGTCGTAATACTCCTCGAACCTGCCACAAACACAAAACAGATGAAAAGGGGAAACAATGTTGAGATGCTTCATCGGGGAAGATGTAGTCGTAATACTCCTTGAACCTGCCATAAGCAAGAATGGATGAAATGGCAAAACCAACGTCAGTCTCTAACAAGAAGTGCAGAGCACACAAGACGAGAATGGTAACAAAGCAACCCAGATATGCATGAGTGGATTTGAGTATGCACGCACCCAGCAGGAGTGCCATCCTCCGTCGTGATTGGCCGCTTCCGCTTCACGCGTCGCGGCATCTTCTTCTCGACCAATCCCGGGTCGCCGTTCACGCCCGCCGCCCGCTCCATCTCTCGCCACGCCTCCAACAGCATCACCCGCTCCTCCTTCTGGTCGGCGGCGTTTGTCCTCATGTGCTCAAATGCCCGCTCATACACCTCTGCACGTGGCCGTATGTGAGGAACGGGGCAGGCAGGGAACGAGAGAACAGCAGGCGAGAAGACACAAATCAGATTCAGCACACCCCTGTGCTCTCACACTGCCCTCGTACCGAATCCCCACCCCACACCCCACCACCCACACCGCACACCCCATTGATCACACAAGTCAACCAACCCATACACACCTAACCAAACACCGTACTTCCGGCCAAAGTCAACCAGCCCTTAGACCGGGCTCCAGGTCGTCCGCCTCTCTGCCCTCCTCCGGGGCTAGCACCTGCCCGTTGTACCTGTACCCCAAGCCCCACTCCCAACCCAAGCACCATACCACACGCACCATACCACACGCACCATACCACACGCACCATACCCCACCGCACCGTACCTCTGGCCCTGGTGACCCGGTCCTTAGACTGCTCTGCAAGCACCAGCTCGTCTGCCTCTCTGCCCTCCTCGTCCTGTGCGCACACCCTGTTTCTGTCATTCCACACCCCACACCTCACATTCCATGCAGCAAACACCCCATGCCACCCCACCTCTCGCCCCTCGTGCCCGTACCTCTCGCCCTGGTGACCCGGGCCTTGGACTGCTCTGCAAACACCAGCTCATCCGCCTCCTTGCCCTCCTCCTCCTGGGCTCGCACCGGCTCCTTATGTCCGTACCTTCCACCCCACCCCTTGTCCACACCTCACACCCCAAGCACCGTACCCCACCGCACCGTACCTCTGGCCTTGGACTGCTCTGCAAGCACCAGCTCGTCCGCCTCTCTGCCCTCCTCCTCCTCTGCTCGCACCTGATTTGCGCATGCTAATTCTCAGCTTTACTGTCCTGTACCTGTGGTTCCACACCCCATACTCCACTCCACCGCACTGTACCTCTGGCCCTGGTGACCCGGTCCTTGGACTGCTCTGCCAGGACCAGCTCGTCCGCCTCTCTGCCCTCCTCCTCCGCCTTAATCTCCTCCTCCACTGCCACCTGCGCCTCAAACTGCCCGTAGCTCATCCACACCTGTGGATGGGTGGAAAGAGAAGGGATGGAGTGCGGGGGAGAGGTGGGGAGGGAGAGAGTGGGTGCAAGGGGGAAGCACAAGCACCAGCTCGTCCGCCTCTGCCGTCCACCTCTGCTTTCATCTCCTCCTCCACTGCCACCCGCGCCTCAAACTGCTCGTAGCTCATCCACACCTGTGATAGAGGGAGTAGCACGGGTGCATGGGGAGAAAGGAGGCGTAGCTCATCCACACCTGGGATAGAGGGAGTAGCACGGGTGCATGGGGAGAAAGGAGGCGTAGCTCATCCACACCTGGGATAGAGGGAGTAGCACGGGTGCATGGGGAGAAAGGAGGCGTAGCTCATCCACACCTGGGATAGAGGGAGTAGCACGGGTGCATGGGGAGAAAGGAGGCGTAGCTCATCCACACCTGGGATAGAGGGAGTAGCACGGGTGCATGGGGAGAGAGGAGGGGATAGAGAGCGGCATGAGAGCTCAGCTCGTCCGCCTCTCTGCCCTCCTCCTCTGCCTTAATCTCCTCCTCCACTGCCACCTGCGCCTCAAACTGCCCATAGCTCATCCACACGTGTGGAAATTGGGGTGGTGGAAAGTGATGACATGACAAGGAGTGGAAAGCGATGGCAAGGAGTGGCAAGGAGTGTTACCTTGACGTGTTTGGTCCTCTCCAGCTTTCGCTCGTACAGCTGCCTCGTGCGAGCGCCCAATCGTGCTTACCATGTAAAGAGCAAATACACAGCACAGATGTTACCTGGTTATCAGCAAAAGCTGTTTCTCACCTTGACATGCTTGGTTCGCTCCAGCAGTCGCTCATACAGCTGCCCCGTGCGCACGTTCGTGCATATTATCATGTATGACTACACAACACAGGTGTTACCTGGTTACCAGATCTCACCTTGACGTGCTTGGTTCGCTCCAGCAGCCGCTCGTACAGCTGCCTCGTGCGTTCGCTCTCACCCTCCGCTATCTCAAAGTCAATGTACGCCTGCCATGGGGCAGGGCAGGGGAGCAAAGACAACAGGGAAATGTGTTATGTCTCAACAATTGCGCGCGCTCACTCTCCCCCTCCGCTATCTCAAAGTCAATGTACGCCTGCCATGGGGCAGGGCAGGGGAGCAAAGACAACAGGGAAATGTGTTATGTCTCAACAATTGCGCGCGCTCACTCTCCCCCTCCGCTATCTCAAAGTCAATGTATGCCTGCCATGAGGCAGGGCAGGGGAGCAAAGACAACAGGGAAATGTGTTATGTCTCAACAATTGTGCGCGCTCGCTCTCCCCCTCCGCTATCTCAAAGTCAATGTACGCCTGCAAAAGGGCAGAGACAGGAGAGCAGAGGGTAGTAGGACTGATGCTTGTCAGAAGGTGTTTAAGCTCGCTTGTACAGCTGCCTCGTGCGCTCGCTCTCCCCCTCCGCTATCTCAAAGTCTATGCACGCCTGCGATAGGATAGAGATGACGGGATGGAAGCAGTAAGACAGGTATTGAGTACTTGCACGTATTGAGACGTCTTAACAATCGTGCGCGGACCGAGGCGCGTGCGCGGACCAAGCGGAGCGCGCTGACCAAGGCGCGCTTGTGGACCAAGGCGCGCGCGTGAACCAAGGCGCGCGCGTGAACCAAGTCACTACAACCAGCCTCTAGAAGCGTGGCTGAGGCACAGCATACCTTGCACAGCAGCTCAGGTGTATTTAAGAGAGGCTACCCGATGGTTAACTCGTATTCAGCCCGAGCTCGCTCGGTTTCGCCCAGGCTGCGCTCCAGCTCTGCGAACTTGGCCCACGCACACACTCACACACTCAAGCATGCGCACACTCATATGCAGCGTACCTTCCACAGCAGCTCCAGCTCTGCGAACTTGGCCGACGCTGAGTTCACGTTCTATCTTGTACCTCCCACACCGTACCTCCCACAAAGAAATACCTACCTTCCACAGGAGTTCAGGCGTATCCAAAAGAGGCTGTCCTATGGCTAACTCGTAAACCGCTCGCGTCCGCTCCGTCTCCCCCAGGCTGCGCTCCAGTTCAGCAAACTGCAGGGTGTTTTTGAGAATTCTCAAAAACGCGCTCCAGTTCAGCTAACTTGGCCCACGCACACGCACTCTCCTTCCCCAACGTACCTTCCACAGCAGCTCCGGAGTGTCCAATAGAGGTTGGCCAATCGCCAGCTCATACACGGCTCGTGCCCGCTCCGTCTCCCCCAGGCTGCGCTCCAGCTCTGCGAACTTGGCCCACACTCACAACCATGCACACATTCATGCACGCATACTCATGTGCAAGCACACTCGATCACGTACCTTCCACAGCAGCTCAGGTGTGTCCAGCAGCGGCTGCCCTATCGCCAGCTCATACACTGCCCTTGCCCGCTCAGTTTCGCCCAGGCTGCGCTCCAGCTCTGCGAACTTGGCCCACGCGGGACAGCTGGCGGGCTGCCATTGGAGGTACTTCTCGTACAGCATGCGACAGCGGTCGATGTTGCCCAGCTGTAACTCCATCTCTATGTATGCCTTGAAGATCTGAGATGAGAATGAAGAGGGTGGAGAGAAATGAGAGGTGTATTGCAGCCACATTGGAGGTACTTCTCGTACAGCATGCGGCAGCGGTCGATGTTCCTTAGCTGTAGCTCCATCTCTATGTATGCCTTGAAGATCTGCGGGTGAGTGGTGGTTTGGAGTACACAGCATGGGTAGAGGAAAGGAGAGGTCAACACAAACGCAAGGTACTTCTCGGACAGCATGCGGCAGCGGTCGATGTTGCCCAGCTGTAACTCCATCTCTATGTATGCCTTGAAGATCTGAGGTATGTGTGTGGAGGGCACAAGGCGTGGGAGGGTTGGGACTGGGAGGGTTCGAACAACAAGAATGTTTTGGGACATGGGCTGCCTGCCATTGGAGGTTCTTGCTGTTGCTCGAGGTGCACAGAATTCGGCAGCGTTCGATGCTGCCGAGGTGCAGCTCCAT